TTTTGATCACGTGACCACAGGGATGCTGCTGCAACGGTCACAAGTGTGAAAAACGCTCATAGGTCACTTTTTTTTCCCCGCCACCGAAACTTCGAAGGGTCGCTGTAAAGGAAACAACTAGGAAAAACTTGAGATTTTTCTCCTCTCTTCAGAACAGAATCTCAGATGAGCAGACAAGGAGCCAAGCCAAAAAAAGGGAGAAGGGAAAAGAGAGGGAGGGGCTGTGCTCCAGTTTGTTCCCTGATGCAGGAAATGAATAAAACAGGATCCGCCTGACCCTCCAGTAGAAACATGCAATTTTTGGACTTAATTGCATGCTTCCGTGATCATAACAAGCAGGTTCGGTTTGCTAAAACTTTGACCCAAGTCGCTCCTCTGCCATATTTATACATCCTGGCCTCCTCTTTGCCCATAATTTTAACGCTCCCCTCGAGTGGGTGGGTACGGACAGCTGTGCAGGTCCTGTTGGCTTTCCTTTGGGAAAAGGGACAGAATTAAAGGCGGAGATGACTTTCCTAAGAGTGAAACCAGCAAGAGAGACACCACAACAGAGCTGCAGGTGGTCCTTTCCTTACAAACTATTCGCTTAGTGGACATTTGAAGTTAAAGCAGCTTATAGCTCGGTGATGGTGAAACCTTTCGGCATTGAGTGCCCAAATCAGAATGGATGTGCATGCACATGCATGTGCGTGCACCGGAGTGCCAGAAACCTGAAGACAAGCTGGCTGGTGTGCATGCCCCAAAAAACGCCCTGAAAACGCCCCCAAAAATGGCCTGAAAAAGCCCCCCAAATTGCTTGAAAATAGACCCCAAAACAGCCTGAAAACAGCCCCCCAAATGGCCTCAAAATAGCATCAAAACAGCCTGAAAACAGCCCCAAAACAGCCTGAAAAACAGCTTGAAAATAGTCCAAAAAACGGCCTGAAAACAGCCCGAAAAATGGCCTGAAAATAGCCCCCAAATGGCCTCAAAACAGCCCCAAAAAACGCCCTGAACACAGAGTGAAAAACAGCCTGGAAACCAGCCTGGAAAATGGTGTGAAAACAGTCTGAAAAACAACCTGAAAACAGCTCAAAAAATGGCCTGAAAACAGCCTGAAAAACAGCTTGAAAATAGTCCAAAAAAACGGCCTGAAAACAGCCCGAAAAATGGCCTGAAAATAGCCCAGAAATGGCCTCAAAACAGCCTGAAAAATGGCTTGAAAATAGCCCCCAAAACAGCCTCAAAACAGCCGAAAAAATGGCCTCAAAATAGCATCAAAACAGCCTCAAAATAGCCTAAAAATGGCCTGAAAACAGCCTGAAAACCAGCTTGAAAATAGTCCATAAAAGGCCTGAAAACATCCCGAAAACTTGCCTCAAAACAGCCCAAAAACCGCCCTGAAAACAGAGTGAAAAACAGCCTGGAAACCGCCCTGAAAACAGCCTGGAAAATGGCATGAAAACAGTCTGAAAAACAGCCTGAAAACAGCTTGAAAAATGGCCTGAAAACAGCCTGAAAATGGTCTGAAAAACTCTGTGGGAACGGCCCAAAAAACAGCTGTCTTTTGGGCATTTTTCAGGCCATTTTCAGGCCATTTTCCGGTGCTCCGGGCTCCCAAAGACCAATTGGCAATGGTGCGCATGCCCACAGAGGGGGCTCTGTGTTCCACCTCTGGGTTGCATGCCATAGATTCGCCATCACGGTTATAGCTGGTCTCACACTAAAGACCATCATAGCACTCCATAGCCACAGGATCAAAATTTGGGTGCTTAATAACCAGCATGCATTTAATGATGGTTGCAGCATCCGGAATCAAAGGAACAATCAATCAATCAGAATAGATCGGGAAGGGATCTTGGAGGTGTTCTAGTCCAGCCCACTGCTATACGATTTCAGACAAATGACTGTCCAGTCTCTTCCCACAATTTCTGGAAGCAAGTTGTTTCCCTAGTTAATTGTCCTCGTTGTAAGGAAGTTTTCTCCTTAGTTCTAAGTTGCTTCTCTCCTTGATTAGTTTCCATCCATTGTTTCTTGTCTTGCCTTCTGGTGCTTTGCAAAATAAGTTGACACCCCCCACCCCTCCTACTGTTGCAATCTCCCAACTACTGGAATACTGCTATCATGTCACCCCCTAATCCTTCTTTTTACTAACTAGACCAGTGTTTCTCAACCTTGGCCACTTGAAGATGCCTGGACTTCAACTCCCAGAATTCCCCAGACATCTTCCAGTTGCCAAGGTTGAGAAACACTGGTCTAGTTACCAATTCTTGCAACCGTTCTTCATATGTTTTGGTCTCCAGGCCTTTAAACATCTTGGTTTCTCTTTGCAACCTTCCCAGCCAGCAANGAGTCCTCTGGGAGTGGGCGGCATACAAGACAAATAAATAAATAAATAAATAAATAAATAAGTAAAATACAGCTAGACATAAACTTCTTTCAATGCAGATTGTCTGATACTGTGGACAACATTATTCCTAAGCATGTAATCTGCCACTTGAAATGCAATATAGATGCAAATTCTGTATAAAATCTTGCAAATCTTTTTACTGCATGGTGATAAAGTACAAATCTTTTGGGGTCAGAGAGTTTCTAAATCTAAAAATATATTTCTTCTAGAATACAGGTAATATTAGTAGCATTACTTTATTTTTCATGGTATGTCGTTTTAAAATATAAAATGCAAGCTTTTAAATACTGCATTCACATTTGCTTTACCTGGTATTTCATTTGGCATTGGATCATAAATAAAGTAAAAAAGAACTGCTATAATTTACATCTTCAGAATTATTAAAAGGAAAAAAGACAATTTCCTCATCAATCCACATTAAAACATGTTGAGATGTGATATTTTTACTTTATCATTCATAGGCTTAAATAATTCAACTTCAATAATTAAACTCACCTAAGCTCTGAATCCACTTGATAGCATTTCCAGTATCAGAAGCATTGCCTTCAGTTAAGTAGGTGATCTCGCTCCCAATTTTCCAACCAACCAATGGATACAAGCCTTGAAATAACGAAACATAAGTTTTCAGGGATATGCCAAAATAGGCCTATTACATTAACAGAGAAGCTTTGGATTCATCAATAGAAGACATGTTAATAATGTTCACCAAATTCCCCTACAATCTCTGAAAATATAGCCAGAGAATTAAGACTCCCTATAAGGGATAGAAGAATAATTAAAGAATCCTTCCTTTCCCCTCTTTTGGATAAGTTGTAACTTTAAACAATTGCTAAGCAACTGGTCAAGAATTATCCGTAGGTTATATTAATAGGGAAATCAGTGATTTATCATAGAGCACAGCATTCAGCTACATTCAAATCTAAATTATTTTCATAGTTCTATGTTCTTCCATTGTTTGAATAAATGAGGGGATACATTTAAATGAAGTTTCCTAAACATAGAAGTCTTTTGACAGACTTATTCATATCATATTTTTATAAAAATTTGATAATCTTTATACTCCAGGTTGAATTGGATCTTCTATATCCAGTCTTTCCCATAAGGAAGTCTTTCTTACTTTGGTGTTGATGTTGACTAAAATATATTTTTATTACTAATTGATAAATAATTAATATACTTAATTATATTAATTATTTTAATTCTAATAAAATGAACTTTTGTAAAATTAAAACAAATACATTTAACATTAAATTGAAATTAACATTTAATTTATAAAGCATTGTATTTATACAATAATTATTTTTATTTCATGGTAAAAATTTGCTGTGTCCACAATTGTTCCTGCCAACCAGAAACATATAAACCTACCTTTCTTAGATAGATGAATGTTGTTTCCAGTATTAATATCCCAAAAGGTACCAGTCCCCATGGTGACTTTTATGTCGCCTATGTCAAAACAGCACTGTCCAAACATGGCTGCCTGCTGGTCTGCTACCTACAAATGAAAATCAGAGAGTGAGGTATCACCAGCTATTCTAGAAATTAAACTTCTAAACATTGAGAAGTGCATCATAACTTTACTGTGTTGAAAAGCTTATGTGCCAAGCTTTTAAAAAATGAATAGAATGGAAAGAAAACATGTAATTTTCCATTTCATTAGTCAGATAAATAATATTAATAGGTGTTCTGTCTGCCTGCCTGCCTGCCTGCGCTTGTTTGAAAAAGTTTTATTTAAGGTAGCCTCAGAATCTGGTATCACTGTTGTGAGGAAAATAAATTCTTAGAGAAATAGGAGTGTGACAGCAAAATAGAAACATAAAAGGAAACAAAGAAGGAATGTGCGTTAATCAAATAGACACACAGAAAGGTGGCCTTGGATGTCTAGCTAACAAAAAGCTTTATCAAAAAAAATATGGCAATCTAGTGACATGTTTCTTTTTCTAAAACAATGATTCTTTCTTGAAGATAGTAACAATAGAAGCGCAGGAAATAACTGAGAATTGTGAACACTGCAGCATGTCTTGATTATTTACTTTGGGTCCTGTATTTTGATTTCACACTGTAGAGCAAGGATCCCCAAACTTGACAACTTTAAGACTTGTGGACTTCAACTCCCAGAATTTTCCAGCCAGCATAGAATTCTGGGCAGTTGAAGTCCATAAGTCTTAAAGTTGGCAAGTCTGAAGACCTCTGCTGTAGAGTCATAAAGTACACATATTTGTACTTCTGGTTTCCAATTTTCCTTACATTTTTAGTAAACCAGCTATGTTTTAGCTTCTCACAAAGTCCTTATCCTAGCAGTGCTTCTGGCGCACTGTGGGGCAATTGAAAGAATAATTAAATCCAGCTGGCTGCTGCACATAGGTAAGGCCATTGAGACAGGAGAGGATAGAGACAAACAGCTTCTTCCAATCCATTGTATTATGGGACAAAGTTTATCACGCTCAGGGAACAAAGAGGCATTTTATTATTTGAGCTGTAATTCTAACAAAGATATTATTATTATTTGCAACAACAGAATAGTATCACAGCGGCCAGTTGTTTCGCCGGATTTGGCATTGATTACTAGTCGGGCCCCACGCAGGGGCCTACGACGTCGTAGCGTATTTTCGTAATATGCGTACAGATCCAAGCAGTGCGGCTTTTTGCATTTGACTGATGGTGATTTTGTCAATTTTAAACTGTTTTAAATGTAATTCCAGTGCTTTTGGAATAGCA